GCCAGGACGCAGCTCCCACCCCTATCGGTCGACCTGGAGAAGATGGCTAATGAGCAGGGAGTGGGGAGAGGAAAGTGGAAGGGAGGCAAGGGTCCCCATTTCTCCACCCAAACTGCACCACTGGGGCGTCTTTGGGGGTGGGGAGAGCCTGCAGGCAGCACCTCAGCACACGGAGGGCGGCCCGGTGAGAGGGGAGTCACTCTGCTTGTGTGGCCCTACAGTAGGATTCCTAGCCTGTCACGTTGGGTAAAGCTTCCCACGGGCATGTGGGCACACGTGCGCGCACGCACACACGCATGCGCACACACACACACACACACACACTCACTCATAGAGATTCTGGTTCCTAAGCCTGCAATGAGGCCCAGGCTTTGTTTTTTTTTTTTAAAGTAAACTTCCAGGCAGGGTTTAGGTGAACGTCAAACAGGGCTGGGAAGTAGAAATCCAGAGCAAGGAAGCAGCTTCCAGGCAACGTAGAGTAGCTGCCCTGTGAGGTAGTGAGAGCCTCGTCCTGGGAGTTATGTAAATGGAGGCTTGATGGGCATTTGATGAGGATGCTAGGGAAAATGGGGTGTTCAATGCTAAGACTTTGGGGCCTAGTCCCTCCCCATCCATTACCTTGGTTAGGCCATTTCACCTGACAGACCTCTGAGACACGGGATAGAATTTGCCAGCACTTTCTGCCTGATTGATACAGAAGGGCCTCTCGCAAGTCTCCCTACTTCTACCCTCCCTGAGCGCCCCGCCCTGCTCCCCCACCCCATTCCCTGAGCAGCCAGACTGAACTGCTTATCAGCTCCACCCTACACCATCGCCTGAAACTCTGCAAAGGCTTCCAAATTTGCTTTGGATGAAATTCAAACTAAAGATGTAGCTCCCAAGAGGACACTTACTCTGCTCTCTCCGCAGCCCCACCCTCCCCTGTCCCAGCCACATGGCTTTCCCCCACCCTCAAAGCTGCCATGAAACCTCCCTCCACAGGCTTCTGCGCCTGTGGGTCCTGCTGCCTGGAGCGCTGATCTCAAGCCCACCCAGCCTGGCCTCGCGGGTACCAGAGCTCTCAGCCAGGAAGTCTTCCCTGAACCACCCTCTGCACGTCTACCGTCTCCCGACCCCACGGCCAGTCACTGGTGCGGCTGTGAATGAGGGCCACCTCCTGCCCGTTCTGAATTAGCTCCGGACCATGGCTGGGCTTCCACTGTTGAAACCCCGCCTCCAAGAGCTGGGCCTAGAGGAGGCTCCCAAAACAAATGGAAGAACTCAGCTGGTTTTTAATTGGGGTGGGGGTCACAGATCCCCTCAGAGTAGCCTGAAAAAGAATGAATGCACCTGCCAGGAAAGAATTCTTACAGAGCCTCTCTGTGCACAAACTCTGGGGCCCATCCAGCAGGAAGCCCTGCTCGTAAAAACATCACCAACCACGGCAACCATACTTTTCTTTTCCCTCGAAAAGGAAAATGAACAGAAATTTCAAAATTGGCCAGGTGAGGCGAAAGAAGCTATTGAATTTGAGGGTGAATCTGAGGGAGAAGGATGCTGCACCACCTCACCAGCACACCTCGAAGCACCCTCACGCCCCCTTCCATGCCGCCTCTGACCAGCCCCAGGCCTTCCCTGGCTCACAATGAACCCAGAGCTGCAAAATGGCCACGAGAAAATTCTACCACCCATATTCAACAAGTATTAAAATTTGCCACGAGTTTCAAATGTTTTCACTTGAAGAAAAGAAATGAAAGGTACAGCAGACTCCCCCAGGCTCGTCCTCCCCGCTGGCCGGGCTGCAGGCTCCCTCCCCGGGAAGCTGGGGTGGAGTGGAGTCTGCCCTCTCCCGCCTATGTCACAGTTTTCCTTCATTTATTTGTAGCTATTGTTTTGTCTGTTTGGGAATTTACGTGATCGGCATCTTGTTATACTAGTGTTTTGCTACTTGCGTTTCGAAATGAATTTATGACACAATTTGTACAATGAAGATGGTGAGCGCTGGGCAGGAAGAGATGTTGTGGGTTTCACTTCCTGCTGCAGTGGTTCCAGAACCATCCGCTAAGCACATGCTTGGATTTTGAGTCATGTCCCGGGTGGGGTCCCGCGGGGGCCCCCCGTGGGCTTCTAGGGGGTCTGCGGATTAACCCTCCCGCCCTGGGCGTACCTGCGACGTTGGCCACGCGCAGGGCTTCCTGGTTCTTGGACGTCTTGGAGCGGTTCTGGCTGCGCTGCTTGCCCCCCGTGGAGCGGGTGCTGCGGAGGTGGACCTCAGTGGCCTTGAAGAAGGCCACCATGAAGGGCTGCTTGTTCTGGGGCCCGTGCCGCCCGATCAGGCCCGCCAACTTGGGGTTGATGCTCTGTCCTAGACGGGAAGCAGTCAAAGGCACAGAAGGGCGGTTACAGGAGGGGTGGATCTCGGGGAAGGCTGCACAGACCTCGTTTCACCCGAGCCTCACGAGGCACCGTGATTCTCCATTCGTCCATCCAGCAAGCACCTCCTCGCTTCCTGCCCTATGCCAGGCAGACTGGCCACGGGGCTGGAGCAGAGACTGGGGGCCAGAGAAGTGGGGTGGCTCAGGGGTAGGGACGGTAGGGGCACAAATAACGCAGGGTCCTGTGGGCACCAGCAGGCTCTTTGCTTCTGCTCCGCTTGCTGGTGTCCCCCCAAATTCACGTCCACCCAGAACCTCAGGATGCGGCCTTATTTGGAAATAGCATCTTTGTAGATATAGTTAAGGTCATACTGGATGAAGGTGGGTCCTAATCTAATGAGTGGTGTCATTGGAAGGTCACGTGAAGACATAGAGATGTGTGTGTGTGCACATGCACGCACACACACATACACACACATGCAAGACGGCCACGTGAAGACGAGGCCAAGGAACATCAGGGACTCCAAAAGCCAGAAGAGGTGAGGAAGGACCCTTCCCTAGCGCCTTCGGAAGGACTGCAGCCTGGGACACCTTGGTTTTGGACTTCCTGCTCCCAGACGGTGAGCGAGAGCTCTGCTGTTTTAAGCCCCAGGACATCCAGTGTGCACGACGCAGAAACCACGGGGCGTTGGGCTGTGGAGGGGGCAACCTGAATTGTTTGTCAAAGACTCCCGCCCCGGCCCCGGCTGCCCCGGACACTAGACTGTAGGGGTCAAGGCTGGACTTGGAGACCAGATGGAGGCGACTGAACAGTTCAGGGAGGGGTAATGGGGCCTGGACCTGGACCCAGACCCGGGGTGGTGGGACCACAGTTGGCCATAAATGGTCACCGTGATGGTTCACTTTTTTAAGTCCATCTTTAGAATTTATTTTATTTTTAATGCCTTGTTTTGAAATAATTACAGATTAACAGGAATTTGTGAAAAAAACATACAGGGAGGTCCCCGGGACCCTTCAGGAAATGGGGAAACCGAGGCAGGGGTAGGGATGGGGAAAAGTCCAGGGGAGGGGAGGGCAGGGGACGAAACAGTGTGACAGAGCAGCTTTTGTCTGAAATCCCCACCTGACCTCGAGGGAAGGGGGCAGGGGGGCGGTGGAACATCCTGCCTGGGCTGAGCCCCAGGTCCAGAGGGAGAGACAGACTTGGAGTCAAACATGCTCCAGCTCAGGGCCAGCCTTCCTGGGTTCAAGCCCCACCTCTGCCACTCAACGCACAGATGCTCTTTACAGCAAAGCTCTGCACACAAGAAGTGCCTAATAAATGCCAGCTCCGGGCAGCGGTCCAGGCTGGTGTGGAGACTGGACGCACTCACCTGGGGAGAGTGTGGAGCTGGACAAGCAACATGAGGGCTGAGCCCAGACGCCCCACCTCCACCACTGGGAGGTCGGGGGGAATGCAAGCGAGGCTGCACACAAGTGCCAGCGGGGAAGCTTGGAAGAAGCTTGAACAGAAGGAAGGGGGTGCCAAGAGGATAAGGGGTCCTGGAGACCGAGGGAGAAGGCAGATGAAGCTGTCACCATGTCCTGTGCTCTGTGGATGACCCAAGTACGATGGGGGCTAGGAACAGGTTACCTGCTCTGGCAACGGCGACGCCATTGGTCCACACAGACTTAATATCATGTCTGGTGGTGACAAAAGTATTTCAAAGAAAGATAAAGCAAGAGGACACAGAAAGCCCACCTCGCTCGTGTTAGAACAGCCCAGAGAGGCTAGATAACCTGCCTGAGGACACCCAGCTTGGAAGGGAGGGAGCTGAATTTGAACCCAGGTCAGGCTGCATAACGTGACAGATACGGTACGTCCAAGCTGGGTGAGGGGTCGCACGTCAGTGAAAGCCGTGTTTCCGGAGGCTCTGGGCCCATCCACATCTGGAACGGACTTACCTGGAGCCCCTCGGACGGGCTGAGAGTCCAGAAACCCAGCCTCCCAAGGACCAGGTCAGCATCTGGGGGTTCGCTTTGGTCGTTTAACAACAAATGTTTAGAAAGCGCACTCCCCCCACCCCCCACTTTACCTGAGTCGCTTTCCCACATTCTTGAGCAGGGTTTCCTCAAGTTCACCCATCTATAATTTGAACGATTCTATAAAAGAAACTGTTAAAGCCAAGCCCCTAGGAATTGTGTTCCCCCTGGAAGGCATTTAGGGCAAAATAAAAATGCCTCCCGGAAACCCTGATGCTGTTCCAGACACAGCAAACGTGAGCGCTGCAAGCA